GGTGGTGCCTGGGGTAGCCCAGAATCGTCGTGGGTGGTGCCTGGGGTGGCCCAGAATCGTCGTTGTTCGGCAGCCGACCCACAAAGAAAATTTTGATCAAAAAAAACGTACGTTTGATCAGACCCACAGGGACTTTTTGGACGCTAGGCGTCATCAAAATCGGCGTCATTCGGCACCCGACCCACAAACATTTTATATGAATTTTATATACCCACAAAGAAAACCAATTTTTCCAAAAAGTCCAGTTTCGGCGTGAGTACTTAAAAGTTTATCTAAATCGGCGTCGTTCGGCACCCGAACTACAGAGAAATTCTGGACGCTAGGCTTCATCAAAATCGGCGTTGGTCTGATCAAACGTACGCTTTCGCCCACCCCCAGAGAGGCCAAGGGCCCTGAGTCACCTTGCTTGAAAAGCCCCCCCCGCACTCTCCACACCACCCACCCCAAACCTGGCCTAAACCTGGACCCAGGGAAAGACTGGCAGAAATGGAAGTGAGCCTTTGTGACGTGGCTAGTTTCATGTTGGTTTCACTGTTTTCATTTGGTTTTCCAAATGACAAACGACCAAGAAAACACAACAAAACAAAAGAATGGAGTCGCCGATGCTGCGAGCCATGGTGACTGCTGCTTCTATGAAGCCGGAGCAGAAAGAAGATACACCCAAGAAAGAAACAAAGGTCAAAGCAAAGGATGAGGGTCCTCTAGTATCTCGGCTAAGTTGCGTAGCCTTATGATGATTCTCCTTTGTTTCCACGGTTCCCAGTTCCCTGGGGTAATATACAGCATCATTCAAAACAACATTTCACATAGTTTTGAATTTAATATCGAACATAGGACTCTGCTGCGAAGAAACGCAAGACCGAATGGGAAGCTGGCCTATCAAAAATGCCTGGAGATGTTACATTGGTAAGAGCTGCTAAGAATGGATTTGAGCTCTGTTTTATTTTGTTGGTATGTTTAAGTTCAAGTTCAAGCAAACATGTGTTCTTGATGAAGGATATCTGAGAACACATTCAGGACATCTTGGAATACTTGGGGCAGTTCTCTGACACTGAGCAGAACAGTGGAGGTGGCCAAGCAATGCACCCACTTTCATGGGTCATGGAAGCCTTCAAAACAAAGGAGATTGCAACAGCGACGTGTGACAAGCTACAGCAGTTTCTGAAGGATGCAGGTGCAGCCTGTGGCCGTTCAATTGAGTTTGCAAGCACGCCTGTTTCTTGTACAAACAAAAGGCTTTTTGTGTGCATGATATGATTTTCGATGAGCTGTAAATTTTGATGTACAGTAAATGTTTATGACACCCGAGGATCTCAGCTCTTTGGTCTCTGGCAGCAATTCACACCTCATTGCCTACCTCCCGCTGAGTGCCATTCATTTGGCTGCACCACCTGACGGCTACCCATGCATAGGAGATTTTGTGACGACGACAGTGTCATACATATTTTCAGGTTGCCGCTTGCATCGTGAGCCGCTGGATGTTGTCCACGCAAGCTCAGATGGCTCCACAACATTCACTTTGAAGAAGGGATTCACACGGCTGAAGCTCGGCTGATCATAGCCGAAACTTTTTCACATTTGTTGCATTTGCTTTTGGGGGAGGCAACCATTTTGTTTGTATGTATGTATGTTTGAGGACGGCTCCTTTGCTCCTCCTACTTATTTGCAGCGACATCGATCCACATGCGGGCAAGGACATTCAAGTCTCAGAAGTCACAGATTAAAGTTGAAAGCTTAAGTTCAACATGTTGTTTCTATTGTTCAGTGTTGCTCACCCGGTTCGAAGGAACTGCTTGCACCGTTGATGAGTGCTATTGGTGACATGTTCAATTTACCTTGCAGCATCACTTCAAAACAAGATCCAGAGGTGGTTTCCATGGAGGCAATACAGCTCTCAACACAGGGTGCAGAGCGGCAGAGAAAAGATGTGTCTCAACTCGTTGTATGACGTGTTCTTTTTTTGGTGGTTGCCATGGATGGTAAAACACATATTATGGCTGGTACTGTTACTGCTCAAACTTTTGGTCGAGGTGATGAAGCTAGCAGCTCGGTTCGAGCAAATGATGCGTGATCGGAGGCACGACGAATCTACGAAGGACCTCAATGATGAAGAATTGCTGTCTATGTTGATACAGCGTTACAACAGCTACAAGGCCAACTCAGCGTTGAGGAAGTGGCAGCTGAATGCCGATGCTCAGGCTGCTATCTTTGGAGTGATCCGAGGCATGTGCCCTGAAGCGCGCGCGCTTGTGCGTGCACATTTGGACTTTAACAAGTACACGGAATCTGGTTGCTTGGCCTTTCTTTAAAGCAAATGGGGTCATGAGTGCACACGTTTTTTTACTTATATATATATACACATTACTTTTGTGTGTGCTGGTTGCTTGTGCAAGCCAGCAATGGCCATCTTAGCCTACAACGAGTCCATCCTCCGCAGCAAGCGACATCAACTTCATGAGGCTCCCAAAGGATGCCCACCAGCATGGATTGACAAGCTCACTGTGACTTGACCTGATTTTGTAATTTGTGTCCAATAATTGGTTATTGTGAGTTCTGGGGTGCTCATCTTAAAGAGAAAAACAGGTGCAGAACCTTGTCTTGAGGTCACGAAGGAAGCACAGATCTTACATTTCAGAAGATACAACATATGGTGGGCAGCCAACAGCAAGCGTATGAAACCTTCTATGAGAACACGGCTACGCTGGAGCGAAGAAGTTTGGGGGCGAAGTGTGGAGATGGCCTGCCTCACAGTTTGGGCAGTCAATGAGGCAGCCAAAAATCCAAGAGATCTTTGGTTTGGTGGAGTCAAACTTTGTTTTGTATGTTTTGTTCTTCCTGTTAGCTGTTCTCATCACCCACCATACAAAACAAGGTGACTTCAGAGATGACCAGCAACATGATCCAAGGGTACTTGCAAGGGATACTTTGATGATACAGTGCTTTCCAAACCTTTTATAATTTGTTTGTTCAATACTTATTTGGCTGTTGGTTGTAGTCTGAATTCAATTCGAATAGAAGTTGTGGCCCTGTGCTGAGGGACTATGTCCAGGACTTGGAAGCAGTGCTCCTCAGCAAGCCCAACAAGTTTGGTGTGGAAGCGTTGGCAATGTGGCAGGACTATTGTGGAAGAGCGCTTGCGAAGGGCGCTTCATCACTTGGGGGGCGTGACGGAGTCCTCTGAGGTTGAAGATGCTGAGGAGCTCCCCTCCCAAATTTTGATTGTTCCCCTCCCAAATTTTGCCCTGACAAGAGGAAACATATGTATGAGTGTGTATATTGACATTGCCCCGTTCTTCACATGTAGTAGGAAGCGCTGCGGGCTGCTGAGTACCAAGTTGCCTGTGTCAACCTAAGCCATGACTACAAGGAAGCGGTTGCTTTCAACTTGAGAAAGCACAAAGTTGAAGGAAGCAAACATGTGCAAGAGGCACTTTATCTGATTGTTTTGTGGCAGATTTTTGTTTCCAACTGCTAGCTTAAAACAATGGGTGTTATTGTTAATGTGGTTGTGGTTCATACTTCTGAGCATGAGGTATTGCACATGAGAGACCAAATCCAGCAGGGTTTGGATGTTGTGGGGCGCTTCATGGAGAAGCGGGCTTACATGGTTGTGGGGGAAAGAAGCCAGGGTGTTGCAGCTCTGCAACGACGCATGCTTGCAGACGCCTCCACTAAGTTCAATGCTCCTTTGGATATTTCGAAGATGCACCATGTCGGGTACATTGACTTCAGCAAGTTTGGACGGCTGACTACTATTGACATCAACCAGGCGGCTGAGTGGGCAAAGAGCATTCTGACTCTGAACGATGAATACAGCCACTCGACAATATGTATATACTGTAAAATAGGTTTCCATATTTTGTGCAATGTTCTCTACCAACTTGTTTCCCCCTGCTTTCTTGAGTTGGAGCAGCTAAAGGTATGATCTTGGCTGTTGCACCTTTGCTGGCGTCAGAAGGCGTGCTTGGTGGCATTCGGGGAGAGATGCGGAGGATTGAGGACAAGTTCATTGACAACATGATGGAATGCAAGTCCATCAACATACCCTTTGACTTGAGCAGCGCCCACGGCAACAGGACTACCGGTTTGCTAAAACATGTTCACACCATCAGTTCTTTTCTGATGGAAAACCGTTATATATATAGGGCGAGAGAAAGACACTTTGAAACTGCCAGGAGCTTGCCGGCCAGTCTTCCGGGTTGGATGATTGTGCTCGACACAACACTTGGTGCAAAACAAGGTACTCTATACAAGGTTCCCAGATCCAGTGACCGGCCAGCAGCCGACACCAATACATTCGCCAAGAATGATTGGTGGTCCTTGCACCGTTGCGGGGCCACCCTACCAGTCAACCCAGGACTTCTACCCACATGCTGAACATTTTGATTGCAGCCCAGGTTTAAGATGTTTCTCAAGTGCTTGTGTGTGTGCATGTCGGCTCAAAACCTTGCCACCTTTTTCCCAGGAGACTATGTGACGCCGGAGTCTGGAACCCTGTTCACACATGAACAGGGCAGGAGCTTGACCGAAACTTGTTTATGCCTCAATGATATGTTTTACACTATTTTCCTTTGGTGATCCTTAAATGATGATGTGATGGGAACATTACTTTTTCAGTGCAGTCATTTCTGCTCAGGACAAGGAGGAAACCTCCCAGTGGGTTTCTGGCTTGGCGACCCTGAAGGAAATGATGACCGCCTGTGTCAGCCGCGTGTCATCGCTGAAGCATCAGACCTGTCTCTTCCACCACTTCAGTTGCTATGAGGGAAATTTTGAGAAGGCGCACATGCTGTTGGGGTGAAACATTTGATGATATTGAAGCTCTCATTTTCATTGAGAAACAAAATTTTCCGATGCGTATTCATCGAAAAGCATTTGTGATGTTGTCATTCAATTCGTCGTTTGATGAGGTGATGCTTGATCTGATGGTTGAATTGAATGACAGGGTCTACATTGGCTTTCATTCTTCGGCTCCCAATCAGACCGTCTTTGAGTTTGCAGCAGCTAGTGTGAAGGACAAGCTGCTGGAGGCTGGAATCAACATGTTGTCAGCAACAAATTGGATTAATTTTTGGGCCAGGATTGAACATGCTTTTGCCCCTGAAAGGATTGGAAGCAAGGTGCCAATTTGGTCGGGGCAATGCCACCAAAGTATCGTCCAACGGCAGAAATGGGAGATCTTCAAATGCCGAAGCTGCCGCACTTGAAGCTCTGTTCCATCAATGAAGATGGCCACCTGACCATCCCGAAAGCGGAGAGAGAGAAGTGGCTGTCTGATCCTGTGAGGAGTGGCTTGATCAAATTTGATTTCAATTGTTTTGTCCGTTTGCTCTGTTGTGTGGTTGCAAGTGGGAAGGGAACATGAGGATGTGTTCTTTTCAATGTCTTGGGAACTAAGATCCAGATTGGCGCATCAGATTGAAGAACTTTGATGAAGTCTTCAAACCAAACACCTCCAGTCCCAATCCAGCTCCCTCAGCAGCGGCTGCTGAAGTAGATCTTGGTGTTGAACGTCCAGCAGAAGTTGTGAAGCAACAAGCCGATGAATGCGAAGTCC